ATAAACAAAAAGCTCAAACTCTCCACAACTACTACTACTACTACTTTGTTTGACAGCAACCTTGTAGCACGGGATTACACTGAGTAGTCAGCCTACCTCCAGAATGCAATTTTTACACCATAATTTGTAATTAGTGCAATTAAAGTTGTGGAGTCTACAAGTCCAGGTAGAAGGATTTCTATGCCTTGCTTGAGCACACAGAGCACAGCTCTTCTACGCTGGCTGCTCTATGGAACAGCCCAGTCCCCTCAGCCCCTGGGTCACTTTGTTCTACCTAGGCTGGACAGTGCCTGGGTCACTGCACAGCCACAGTGCCAGGTAAGGGTACACCAAACACCCTGACAGATGGGCAGGCTCAGCCAGAGCCATTCAGTTGTTCACAGACTGCTCTGCAGTCTTTGGACTTGTGTTTGTTTCTGCCTTTGAACTAAACAGCAGGAGTGTTGCTTCAGTGGATTGAGCACTGCAAGCCCTGGAGAACAGGCGAGTGTGCAGAGCTCACCTGGCAGCACATGCACCCCAGCAGAGACATCCAGGGCCTTTGGAAGGTCTCTTTCTGTCTGGAAGAAGGCCAGAATTTTGATCTATTTTGGGACACTAAACACCTGCATTAAACAAACACCCGAGGGAGTGTTCATACTGCCCACCTCGGCTGTTTGCAGCCCATGCAATTCCAAACATAGCGCAGTGTTTAACAATCAGTGAAGCAAACCATAAATATATATCCTATAGCCATCTCTAAGGGGTGTTTGAGTCAGTCCACTTTCTGCTCCACCTACAAGTCCTGTGAAAATCTCTATACAGCCAGAGGGTTGTATTTTAAGGTCACACCCAAATTATGAGGCTTCACCTGGCATGCACATACCATCATTAAACCTGCCCATGAAACTTCACTGGTAAAATAAAAAGGTGTAATTACATTTTCCTCATTCAGTGGAGAAATAATAATTCCTTTGATGGATGAATTCAGGCCATCAGGCTTTCTTTTGAGTCTCACCCAGCAAGATCTATTTTCTAATAATTATGATGCTTATCTTCCTAATGAAGTCATAAGCATCACCTGGCATTTTGAGATATATTTTACGAAATCATCTGCTCTCTAAAACAATAAAGTTTTTAACAAAAAAACAGCAAAAACTGAAACTCCACTGCAAAGATCATGACTTGCTTTGAGCATCCAAAAAACAAGCAAACTTTAACAAACACTGAACAGCTCCATGAATGGAATTCCTTAGCACTGTGCTTATGTTCCCCTGCATTCCCTCTGAGACCAATGTGATGTCAATAAAAGCTGTGCATTCCTTTCTACTTTCAAATTTGGCTGTGCTGAAGTATCACATGGATTTTACATACAGTGTTTGCTTCACTTCAGAGTAAATCTCTTTCTTATTAGTTCCTGTATAACACAGTACCTCATTCTGCTGGGTCTTCTTCCAACAGGAAGATGGAGGAGGACCTGGAAAGCACATCTGCCAGCTAGCAGTATAAAAGACCTTGTCCCCAGACACCTATTTATCTCTTTAATTAAACACATTCTTGTCCTGATTTATGTGGGGATATCATGACTTACATGATGCTCAAGACACAAATAGAATGTGAAGTGCCAGTGGAAAATCAAAATATACTGAAGCCACTGAGATGAAAAGGGAAGTCTCCTTGTGCTGCCACTGATCTCATTTTTAAATGACAGGGAAATAGCATTATGAAAGGAGACAGCCTACACCTAACATACTTAGCAAAAATAGAGGAAGGTCTTGCTTCTCTAAATACCCATATGGGACTCATCAGTACAATATTGTTCTAATCACTGAAGGAATGTCAAACCTGAGATGGGAAACAGCCTTGAGACAAACAAGACAACAAAATAAAAGCCATAATAATGGAAGTAAAAGACAAAGCAACTGTGAAGCAGGAGATGTTAATAAATCAAGACGGGTCAAATGCATTAACTGAAAGTGGGTGTAAAATGGAGATGTTCATTTCTTCTAAGCAATGTTGGCCAGCAACAATTACTCCAGCATCTATGAATGGAGACAGAATCTTTGTCTAAGAAAATAATGTTGCAGCAGACTTCAGTCTTGACCTGCTCAGTCTGTTGAACAACTTCCTTTATTAACAAGGTTTTAAATCTGTGTAACCAAATAAAACTCACTGTTTTTCCTCACTGGCAGATTCATAGCATAATCAACACTGTTTGTGTGTTTACGATAGAAGTCTTTCCAGACCACAAATAAAGAATATAACACCAGTAGTGTCTTGTCTACTGATTGGATGTTGTTTTTATTTGAAATTACACTAACACACCATTTTCCTTCCCAAATGAGCATACTAACAAGAAACTGAACACCTCCTAAGAGTCTTCATGGTATTGCTGCATTTCAACTCCAGTTAATGTTGATGGCTATTAGCAGAGTAATTCCTGGATTCCTGGCTGGGCAGACAGCTACCTGGTAACATCCCTGTCAGCCCCGCAGCTGGCATGATACAATCTGTACACATCTTAATTCAGCGTGGAGCATGAATCTTCTTCCCTCAGGTATCCCAACAGTCTATCTCCTCACTCAGCTCTACAAGTTCACAAAGAGATTCAGAGAACAGCAAGAGTTCCTTCTTTCAATGTCTTTGAAGCAAAGGTGAAGTCCTTAAATCTTATGCTGAATAAATTCCTATCAGCTTCTGGTGGCCATGTTTACCATATGCCTTTGCTTCCACTCCCACTTTGATTTCACCAAGTGTGGCAAGTACCTGTACCCCAGCTGCATTCCTTAGGATGGCATTTGTCACGAACTCTCTTACAAAAATGTTGCTGGACTCTCCAGCAAACTGCAATTTCCGATTCTCCCCCCTGTGAAATTCATATCCAACAGTCCCCTACTATTTGTATGGATTCCTGCCTGCTCACATCTGCAGCCACCTGGCACCTCAGTCCCAGCCGTCCAGCCTCACAGCTCTGTCCTGAACTACATGGACAGCAAAGTCTTCAACGTCTGAGAGCAGGTCTGGATGAAGGAGTCACTATAGACTATTTTTAGTTGACACAGAAAACATCTGCTCAACCAGGTGAGAAGGCTTATTTTATATAGTTAACACACCAGCACTGTAAATACAGAGTCTGCAAGTAATGAAGAGAAAGAGCTACTTTCTGTGTTTCTGATGATGAGCCAACCATAGCTGTTTACTTCCAAAGTTCCTAACAAAATTCAATGTGGATTTCACAGCTATTTTAGTGGGTTTCTTCACAGCCCTCTATCAAGTCAGAAGATACTTCTAAGATGCTCTACTGCAATAATTACTGATCTTTTACACACTATTCCCAGCTGCTGGGAGGAAAAAAAAATAAAAAAGACCTTCCTGCACCATGTATTCCTGCCAAGAAATTAACAGAGAGGCTGAATTGCAGGTTTCTTGATGGCAGCATTCTGTGGGTAAGAGCAAGTCGTGGATAAGTCTGTTGAGGGACACACAGCAGTGCACTGTTCTTCCTAGAAATGTCCAAACAAGGAGCTGACCTCTCAAATTCAAAACTCAATATTGAAGACAACTCACGTTACTGAGAGCTGCCTACCCAGTATCCAGCACACAACGTCCCCGATGTAAGTGGGGCATTACATATAGAAAAAACCACGAGCGAGTAAAACTGCAGTTTGACTCAAGTGGAAAAACGTTTAATGCTGGCAAAAACTTCATAAACCGAAATCTGCACTGAATTACATCTAAGTATATTTTCCTTCCACTGGGGGAGATCTGCCAAGAACTGCTACAACGTTACTGCAACACACGCGAACTCCGCTGAGAATTCATTACAGAAAAGAACAGAAAGAAACTATCCCGTGAAGAGCGCGAACTTTCTGCGGGCTTGGCCCAGCCGGGACTCACTGGCGAGGAGCCCCTCGGCCCGCCCTGTCCCGCTCCCCGACGCCCGGGGCGAGGGAGCGGGGCCGGGGCTCGACGGGACCGGGACCGCTCTCCCCGGCCGGCCCGCAGCACCGCAGACACCGAAATGAAATGTGCTTCGTAGTAAACAAACACTTGCTTTTAATTTTCCCCCATTTCTGGCGGTTTGTTCCTCCCCTGGCCGGCGAAGCTGCCCGCTCCCCCCGTCGCCGCCCCGTTCCCCCGCGCCCCCCGCCCGGCCGAGGCTACTCACGGGCGCGGGCCGGCGGGCAGCTCTCCGGGGCTGCGACCGTCTGGCGGCGGCGGCGGTGCCTCCGCCCGCCCTCCTGCGGGAATGATGTCAGCGGCGGCTGGGTGTGGAACCAGAAGGGCTTTCAAAAGTGCCCCCCGGCCGCTGGCGGCGGGATAGGGGCGTGAGCGTGTGTGTGTGTCTGTGAGAGTGTGCGGGCGCGGAGGGAGGGACGGACGGACGGGGCGCGCACAGGAGAAACTTTCCCCGCCCGTTCCCACTCGGCGGCGGGCGGGCATCCAGGCGCACCGCCCGGCCCTCCCCGGGGGCGCTCGGGCTGCCGTCCCCCGCGGCCGGGGCCGGTCCCCGCAGCGCTGCCCCCGCCGGTACCTGGACAGGGCGGGCTGAGCCCGACTCAGGGGATGCCAGCGGCCGGACGCTCGGCCCGCTCCCCGGGCGGCCCCCGCCTTCCGTGTGAGCTGTCCCTCCCGGAGGAGTGACCGCTGCGTACGAGCGCGGGAGGCAGCGGGGCCCCGTGCCGCGGAGCCACGCACAGCGAGGGGCGGCGGTGCCACCCGTCACCGTGGGCAAGGGACGGACCGCAGCTACCCGATGGTAGCTGGGCGAGAGCTTTTCCCGGGAAGGACAGGGCGAGGCCCCGGGCGGAGCCCTCTCACGGGAGCCAAAGCGGGGGAAAGCAGCCGCGATTCCCAAAGCGGCCGGGGACAGCCGCGGTGGCTGCGCCCGGCGGAGACCCCGTCTCGGGGAGGGGGCCGAGGAGGCGCCATTTCCAGCCGGCCGTGCTTGAGCCGCTCCCGCCAGGCCTCCCGCCCCTCAGCGCCGGGCCCAGGGCGGGCGAGCCCCTGCTCCCGGCGGGATGGGGCGAGCGGGACGGGCGGAGCCCCTGGCCCAGCGGGACGAGGCGAGCGGGGCGGGCCGAGCCCCTGGTCCGGGCGGAACGAGGCGAGCGGGGCCGGGCGCCGCCGGCGCCGCTGAGGGACGAGCCCGGGGCCGCAGCGAGTGCCATGTTAGGGCAGAGCCGCCCTGGCCGGGCGCCCGGCGCGCCAGGTTCGGCTCGCTCCTGCCTGGGCTTGTTCGTCACGGAAGAAAACGTGTGTGTGGAGAGTTGAGGAAAGCTGCGCTCACAAAGCTGGCCCTGGGCAGCGCAGGTGAGAGCCGGGTCAGTGCCCGTGCCTCACGCCCGCCGCTCTCCTGAGGGGTTCCCCCGCCGCCATCGCCTGTGGCAAACGTCAGTCACCAGCTCTGCCCCTTTCCAGCTTGGTTTTCACATGGCTTTCGTCAGCGGGGCCATGGCATTTACCGTGACTCACTAGCAGGCTGAAGACCGTAATTCGGCTTTTTGGCTGCCTTGCAGGTTTTGGTGTTGGTACAGCCTCTTTGCTTACTCAGATGGCTAAAAGGTCTCACTTGCCCTTACCACAGTGTAATGTTGGCCAGGCAATCTGGCTGTTCCCCTGTGACTGCCAGGCTGTCTGCTTTACATTGTTTTCCTTTGTGTCTTGCCCTCTGTTACAGTTCTGCACAAGTTGCTGTCAACATTTGTTTTGGATGTTACCTAAAAATCCAGCAGACCATGACTCTTCAGTTCAGACTGTACATGCAAGTTTATGAGCAATGTTTCCCAATCCCAGAGATTACCTGTTCTGTAGGAACCATAGTGAATTCCAGCAACACCATCCCTATTCCTAGAGTCTTTACACAAATAGCAACTCTTATGCTGAGCAAAAACACTGTGTTGGTCACTACTCAAAAATTAGCAGCATGGCCCTACTTCATTGCACCTTCATTTTTTCTGAAGTGCAGCATTAATGCCCTTGTACAGCTGTTAGGAATCTTACATCTTGCTAAAAAGCAGAATTATAGGAACACTATGAAACAGTTGCTTTGTCAGTCTAAGCACCACCAACTGTACCAAACACTGCAAGCAATTTGACGGGGGTGGATGGCACTTTGTGGCATGGTAATCTCTTATGGTGTCTTTGCACTGTGATATTAGCTTTAGCTCTGTTGTAACTGCCAAACATACAGTGTGTTCACAATCACTTCAAAATCATACACAAGAATATCAAGTGCCATAAGTAGTTCCCACTGTTCGCTAAAGTACACGTTTCTCTATGCTCATGTATTCCAAGTTTCTGGATAGGAGGGACTAGCACTTAAAGCAGTGTCTGCTTCTTCATTTGTACAATACCTAATTTCTGGTAATTGCCTTGAGGTTAGACTAGAATGGGAATTCAAAGTGGCTCTCAGGGGAGATGTTCATAGCTCTGTGGCTGAAGGAGCAAAAATAAGAAGCTTACAAGTGAGTATCAGTGGAGGAGACAACCCTGCTTGTCAGTTCCCAGGGATTTCGGGAAAGTGATACCTCGGGCTGAGCCAACCTCTGTAAGCATGACAGCCTGACTTCCACTGAGCACAAGTAATAGAGCTGAAGTCACTTAAACATTCCCCTCACACAGGGTAAGTTTGCAAGTGAAATATGACAACAGAACACTTGATTTTTAAACCAAAGATGTTGCTTACAACTCAAGGTACTAGAAAAAAATTAATCGTACTTCATCATGCACTGCATTTGAGATGCTGCTTGCTAATTAGTGCAGAATATTGTCACTGTGAGAAAACAGTTACTGTTAAAAATAGTTTCCTTTCTTCCCCCTCAATGCCTCATACTTGCATTTTTAATTGTTGAATAGTTGTCATCCATGTTTTATCTTAGCTAGAAGCTGAATAAATACTTTAAAAGGTATATTAACACACTGCTAGATGACTACAGGCTTTTCCTGGAAACAGATTCTCCAGGTTCTGCTTTTCAGACTTGTGTTGGACTGATGCACTTTGAGAGAGTTTTGGGGTTTTTTTGCTAATGCCATGCTAAGTATCTGAAAGAGGTGTTGACCTTTTTCCTGCCTTTTTCTTCTCTAATTTGCATGAGGCATGATGATGTGAGGGAAAACATGTTATATCCTGATGGATAAGTACCCCCTTCTACTTCACTGAGTTGACAGGAAAGCTGTTTGAAAGCAAATCACTGACAGCAGAATTCCTGGTGTGCAAGCACAAGATAAGCCATGCCATTCCATGCCAGTTCTTCCTGCTTGTCTTACCATGTCCTAGACAGTATCTTTGACAGTAGCCAGAATTAATAAATGAACAAGATGTATCTCTCCCACTTCCCACGACCAGCTGCCATGCAGTGAACACAATTTACTTGTGTATTGGAGATAAGTCTTTTTTTCCAGTAGTTACAATTTCCTTTTACACAGAGCAAAGTCTGAAAGTGCAGGCTGAGTAGGCATCATAACCAGGAGAGGCTGCATAATGGAAATACAGGCTCAAATATTGATCTTACTGGCATAGTGTGCATTGGATGACAGAAGTTAATGTGAAACATTGATTTATTATCTGCAGATATGTAAATGGACCAGCAATAGAAGTGTTAATCTCGTTAAGACATTAAGACACCATCCTCTACAGGCATCCTTGTAATACCAATCCATTAGTTTGTCACAATGAAAACCAATGTACCAATGAAAGACTTCTAGCACAGTAACAAAACTGGCACTGTATTTTTCTTCAAGAATCTGTGTAAGAATCCTCCAGATTATTGATTCGGAGTATACAACACTACTAGACAGCTTCTGTGCTTACTTTTGTAAAGCACAGAACGTTTTTCTTATGTAAAAAGAAATTACATTTACTGCCATGCCAACATAAGTAATACTGATGAGCTGGTGCTGACTGGGAAGTGGTTTCATCAATGAAACTGAGTTCAAATGTAGGCTTGTATGGCAATGTGCCATGTCTATAATTGAATAAATAGGAAGTGTGCTGTAGGACAATTTTACCATTGGACAGTTTAATGAGGGGCAGGATGGAAGAAACAATGAGAAAGAAAAGAGTGACATGGACTTTTCCTGTTTCATGACTCTTTTAAAGTCCATCCAAAGGAGCTGCTATGCCACAATTTCATTAGTCCTCTAAAAACCACTGAGCCATAACAAAGTTCTCACACCTTTGTCTCCCTTTTCCTTTCCCCCTGCAGGGATCAGAGGGTTCTTTGCTTTCATCCCTAAGAGCCCTGGTATGCTTGTAGAAAGTGTCTCAGATCTGTACAAACCTTAGTGTATCCTTGGTAAAGAAACTGACTTACATGCCCCTTCCTACTCCAGCCTTGAGAATGTTTCCTCCTCCCCCTCAAAGAAACAATGGGAAGTTAAGCAAGAGCAGCAGCTTCCCAACAATTCTTAACTCCTTGAGAACTGAAGTCCTTGTTCAGGCTTGCTGAGTCTAGAATAAGGTGCTTGGAAGGAGTTCTGACAAACTTATGAAATCCTGAGGGATCAGAAAGCATTCCCTTTTTCTCCTTCCCTGCTTCCATCAGTTATTGTTCTTCACTGCCTCTTGCACAAGTCCAAAATATCTTGAAAATTAACGTCTTTAGTTGGCTGCAGTTAGGCTGTGCCAAAACAAGTGAAAGACTTGGGCATAAACAGCACAGCTTTTCAGGGACCTAGTTCCATGGTTTATACAGCAACCACATATAGGAGATATTAATTCAAATATTTGTTTACCATGTTCTTCTGCAGGATATCTGTGGAGATGACATTCAATAAAAAGGAAGAGCATACCCTTTCTTTCTTCCCCACTGTTGGGTGTTCTTCTGGAAAACCTGTTCTCCTGTTCTCTTTTTCTGTATTCATGCTATAATCACTTTAAGAAAATCAATAAAAATTTTTGGCTAAAAGTAGCCAAGGCAAACTGTAGTGTTGCCCCTAGATCAAACAAAGCTGTTTGTCAGTGCAGTGACCATATTATGAGAACTTCCTAAAAGCAGTCCCTCAGAAAGTGGTTATGGATGAGAGTAGCAAAAGCATTGAGTCCAGGGACCTTTAAATCAGAGAGTGTTTTGATGCTATTGGCTACTGGATCATGCCTCTTTAGCCCTTTTGCAGAGTTTTTCTATTTAGTCAAAACTTGGCCAGACAACGTTAAATTAAAAATTAGCTTTGTAACTGGATCTAGCTTTAACATGCTTTAACATTCGGATTTAACAATCCTAGCTTTGTTTGGAAAAGAAAAGGAAATAAATTGGCAAGGACTAAAGGCAAGCTGCAACAAAAAAACAAAAAAAATGCAGGGCCTCTGAAGTACCGTGCAGTATGTCAAGGGCTTAATCATTACAAATAAACCTGTGTGTTGCTTACCATCCTGCCAAAACAATTGCAATAGCAACCCAACCCTCCAAACAGAGCTTTACAAATCAAATACCATAGAAAAGAACTTCTAATCCATCACTCTGCTAGAGATAGGAATACAGGAGACTAAATTGTACTATTACAGAGGGGTAATAAGGCCTTGGTCACAGAAAATTTGCTGTTGTTTGAAGTCTGCAGGAGTGTGCAGTTGGAGTGGCAGGACTAAGATTTCATTGTACAAATAAAATCCAAAAGAAGGTCAAAGTACCCTACAAGAAGGCACTATTTTGAAAAGCAGACACTTGAACTGCTTAGAGGAAGAATGTATTTTGTCACTTTGGCTGTTGACCTTGTGATCCAAAAAAAGCACAAATCTTTAAATCATTTTAAATTATTTAGAATTAATTAGAAAATATGGTGTTTGCTTCTCCAAGAGAACTACTCGCTCTCAATACACTCCAAACAACATCACATATTTAGAATTCAAGGACCTAATAGATTTTCATCTGATCTGTAAAGTAAAATAAGCTACTTAGCATTTTTATTTCCTAGAAGTGGCCAAACAAGAAGACTTACCCATTTGCAGCCAAAGCTGAGTGACAAGCAGCTCCACCAGTGAGGACACTGTTTCTGTATGGGTCTGTTCTGCAGAGCACACAGGTAAATTAAATAAACAGAGACTCTGAGCCATATGGGGGATGGATCTGCTTCCCTCCCCATGGAGCAAACCACAGCAGAATTCTCACTCAAATAGCAAGCCTGATGTGCACATGCACTTCTCTCCCTATAAATGTGTGCATGTGTACATTGTACACTATCAAATATGTACACATAGAAATTCAAATCCAGGAACTGGATAATCTGAAAAGAATTTTTGGGTTAGCATATTTTCTGAGGACTGGCCTACACTGCAAAGATTCTAATTCTATATGTAATTTGGAAATCCATCTTTC